AATCGAGAGTATTAAATATTCAATTAGATTGGAATATTTAATTTTAGTAATGAGATTATTTTCTATTAGATAGAAAATATATAATTAAGTTTAATTGGACTTAGACTTAATTATATCTGTTGATACCAAATTTTGGCCTAGCCTATTATGCCTAGCCTATTATAATGTTACACGTGGATATGTATTATATCAATTATTTTATTTTTGGACCTTAAATAATACCGCTTGTGATGATATCGGGCCAATTAAATAGATATATATATATATATCCCCAATGATGGACACAGATAGATAAGTCTGAGGGGAGAATATTATTATTTTCTCTCTAATTTTCAAGGAAGGAGGCGGTGCCTACTGCTCTCTTGATCCTCTTTTTCTTGTCTTTTTCATTCAAGAGACAAAGAAATTACAGCAAAAATTCACCAAAAATATATATAAAAAAATACACAATAAATTCCTCTGAACCCCCCATGTTGATCAAATTTCGAGCATCAACAGTTTGACGCTAGAAGGAGGGCCTCATTTGTTCGGGTTAACCTTTGCCAGAAAAACGGCCGATTCTCTATCAAAGACAATCACTCCAAGTTAAGCTAAGTATTCATTATTTATTTTGATTTCTCATTAGGAACTTTGTTCCTAAACAGAAGGGGCAAAACGCTCTGCAAGAAGATACATGTTGCAGAGTATGAATAGCAGAGGATGAGACAAAGAAGCACATATTCTCACTTGCATATGAAGTACGAACAAGACATTAGAACCACGTCGTCTCCCCACGACTTTGTGTCTTTGATCACCACAAAAAAAATAATAATAAAAAAAAAGGGGGTGAAAGTTGCAGTTGCTAAGAGGAGAAACAACGATGTCTCTTGAAGAAAATTAAGCCACATCACCCTTTTTCTTATTCCTTTCAAGAACGCGAATACAAGATTTCTGCAAATTACATAAGAAGATAAGAAGAACTTCTGAAGATTCGTGAAAAGGATGAAGTAAGCGGCGCCTTCATTATTTGACTTTGACCAGAATCCGCCACGTGGCTCATCAAAACATTTTCTCTCTTATGAGTTATCACAAAAAACAAAAAGAAAAAAGACAGATATGTATTGCAGAAAGGCTTTACGTCGCCAACAGGGCAGCCATCCAGGTCTATAAATAATAATCCGGTACCGACTTCACAACAATCACCGAAGTCCGAGCAAAATTCTAACAGATTTCCGACTTCAATCGCCGACTACCGAGATATCCGACTCGGTTGAGCCCGACCTCAAGGGTCTCTCTGTCGGAACCTACTCCAATCAACGGCCGGCCCGACTTTGGATCTCAGTAATGTTAAATGGGCCAACATCGCCGACCCCAACCTCTAAAAATTCACCAACGAAGTTAAGGAAATGGACGCGATCGACTTCAGTGACAAGGCTAGTTCGGATCTCGAAATCAGAACTGACCCCCGTCGACCTTCTAACCGAGCTGCCGGGCCCGACATCATCGTCGCCGGCTGACATCACCACAAACCGACGGGACCAATCTCGAAAAAATCGACTTCGCCATTGTCGGACGGCCAAAGTCGCAACCCACCGAGATCCGACCTCGAATTATCGGCACTGACCGACTTCACCTTTGCCGAGATCTCGACTTCCCCGCCTTCAATTGTCGGATAAACCACGCCGACTTCAATAAACGGATCTCCGATTTATGCAGGAGTTTGGCTTCGGCCCGTCGGCATCAACGAACAAGTAGCTGTCAAACCGAGTTCAATATCTCGGTTCTGTCGACTTCAACTATAACCGAGACCGACTTCACGAGTCAATATCATCACCGATTTCCGACCTCAATCATCGGATTTCCAATTTACCAAGGTCCGACATAATCACATCTCGGGCATCTCAATACGCAGCCTCCGATTCGCCGTTGAAGCCAATCTCGATTTCTCCGACCTTCAAAATTCCCATGGCTCGGTTTCAAATTAAACTGATTGCTTGAGGTAGGATTCAAATCCGTCAACACACTTTTTCTGTTAATATTTGGAGTTGAATTCACAAACATTGGGGGTCTTCAACAATCGACCCTTAATTCGACGGCGCCTCAAAATTTTCATTCATGGAGCCTGCGAGAAAAAGAAAATAAGAAGAAAGAGGTGATGAATACGAGAAGAGTATGACAGGGAAACAAATTACACCCACTTAAATCTAGCTGGACTGGGCTTCTGCAAGGTGTGATCCAAAAATACAAATAAAGTTGGGCTTAGTAAAGAAGAATTTTAAAGCGCTGAGACTTAAGTCACGGTATTAGCAACTACCCGTGGGCCGACCTAAAGGTGGTCAATTACAATCGAGATAAACACATTATCACCTAGTAGGTCGGAAGCTGCGAGCGGGGAATTATTTAAAATCGACTGACGTGTCAACCGAACTCATTTACTGGGGCCGAATTCCCTTACCTAAGGGTCGTGCTCATTTTTTAATGCCGGGGCCAAATTTATTTATTGATGCCAGAGCCAACTTCATTTATCTACGCTAAAGCCGAAGTTACTCGTCTATTTGTGACGTCTTATTAATGCTCGCCGTGAGCCACGACTCCGGCTGGGCCGACGTCTTATTGATTGCTCGCCGTTGAGCCTCGACTCCGGCAGAGCTAATATTTATAATTGCTCGCCGTTGAGCCTCGACTCCGGCAGAGCTAATATTTATAATTGCTCGCCGTTGAGCCTCGACTCCGGCATAGCTAACATTTATATTTGCTCGCCGTTGAGCCACGACTCCGGCAGAGCTGACATTTACCTTTGCTCGCTGTTGAGCCTCTGCTCCGGCTGGCGCCCACACTGGTTAGGCAAAGTCAATAAGACCTTTCCGGCTGGGCAACATTAAAATACGTCGACACCATAAGAAGCTGAATCTTGAAATATAATTCGGCTACTCGAATCTTAGAATATTTTAGTCGGAAACGAAAAAAGCCGACGTTCCTTTAAAAATTCAGCGAGTAAAATAAAATGCTGAATATTTTAGTCGGAAACGAAAAAAGCCGACGTTCCTTTAAAAATTCAGCGAGTAAAATAAAATGCTGAATATTTTAGTCGGAAACAAAAGATACCGACATTCCTACATATATAATATTTCGGTAAGGCAGAGCACCTACCGACAGACAAAGTCAGACTTGACAAAATATCAAGGTAACATTATTTTTCGTGCGTTAATCATTTATTGCACGAAATCATCATATATTCACACATTCATACATTCATACGCGCGTCATACATGCATCTTGACATGAACATCAAAAGTCAAGCAAAAAAATCCTTAAGGACCCACGCTGGTGAGGTGCAATGTAAAACCTTACTGGCAGGGATCATTAAATTCCTTAAGGACCCACACTGGTTAGGCAAAGTCAATAAGACCTTTCCGGCTGGAAAAAATAAAATTAAAACCCACACTGGTTAGGCAAAGTCAATAAGACCTTTCCGGCTGGGAAAAATATAAAAAGAAAATTTTACACCGAGTTCTTTAGCTCGGTAAAATAAAATAAAAATAGTTCGGTTAATCGACATTGGCACAGTAAAAAGGCCGAATCTCGAAAAATCATTCGGCTCACTGATGTCGGTATAGTAAAAAGCCGAATCTAAATGAAAAAATAATAAGAAAAACTTTTCCAAACCCTGAAGTTGGTTTGGCAAGGCTAAAGCCCTACATATTACATCAAAGATCGGGAACATACTGCCCGACTGAGAAATAATTAAACAAAAATAATAGATCGAGGACCGGATACTAAATTATCCGACCAGGTCCACATAGTAAAGAAAAACAATCACAAATCAAACAAAAAATCGCGTCATCTTAATACGACATAATCGCGAATCCGGTAACAATTCCGGGGCCCGAGTGTCCACGTAATTCCATATCATTATTACCACATCGAATGCTTCGCGTCCCACGCAAAAAAAGAGCGAAAGACGGGTACCAAATTGCCCGACTAGGCCATCCAGGCCCCATTCAAAATTCCAGAAAAATTGACTATCCACGTCATTGGCTCCACGGGTCCCACAAAACCCGGCTAACATTGATTACAGCCAAAATTAACTAAACATGCGACTTCAGAACAGTTCTATTCAAAACATGCCCTAAAGTCGGGGGCCTACTGTTGATACCAAATTTTGGCCTAGCCTATTATGCCTAGCCTATTATAATGTTACACGTGGATATGTATTATATCAATTATTTTATTTTTGGGCCTTAAATAATACCGCTTGTGATAATATCGGGCCCATTAAATATATATATATATATATATATATATATATATATATATCCCCAATGATGGACACAGACAGATAAGTCTGAGGGGAGAATATTATTATTTTCTCTCTAATTTTCAAGGAAGGAGGCGGTGCCTACTGCTCTCTTGATCCTCTTTTTCTTGTCTTTTTCATTCAAGAGGCAAAGAAATTACAGCAAAAATTCACCAAAAATATATATAAAAAAATACACAATAAATTCCTCTGAACCCCCCATGTTGATCAAATTTCGAGCATCAACAATATCATTAATTGGATTAGGTCCAATTGCCTATTGGGCTATAGGTTATCATAAAGCCCATATAATTAGGTTTAGCCTAATTATAAATAGGCGGTTATCTCATATCAGATGAAGAGATCAGATAATTGAGATACGCCATAAAAACACAAAAACTCTCTTTGCTTTCTGACTGAGGATTCCTAGCATCTTCACCGGAAAGGATTCACTGTGTTGGATCATGCACCGGGATCTGGGTTGCGTGGATACCATAGTTGAAGGCAAAGCTTAAACTGTAAGTTCTCGCAGATCTATGATCAAATCGAATAGCTATAGCCGGATCTTCATTGTTGGTATGAAAATTTTAAAATTCCGCTGCGTGTGCGATTGATTCGTACGACTGAAATCCAACACCCTACCTACATATAAGGTAGCCCTTATATTATACAGAACATATACACAACATATACCCGATTAATTCATGGCCCCCGCTTTCAAATCCTAATGCCAACAATCACATCCCCTCTGAATCAAAGTTGCACCATCTTCATTCGAGTCAATAAAACAAGTACCCGAGTGTGTTCTGGGATTAGAAGGCTTTCTTTTCCCTGTCCGACTGAGGAGTCCTCCATCGCAATCTGAAACAATAACCAAGAGGCATCAATCATCATCAAGAAGGTACCAACCTATTTCAGCTAAATAAAAAATAACAATAAAATTTTACAAAACTTGAACATATAAATCCAAATTCGACCTCATTACCATTCCAAATTAAACATTCAACACAATATTAAACTGAAACTTATCACGCAGTGCCAAGAAATTTGAGCAAAGAGAAGATAAAAACTTGCAAGCAACACTAACTTGTCCACACGTAAATGGAAAACATATCACTCCCTATTTCAAAACAACAATAAAAAAGTATCAGATACAGTTTAAATGTTTTGTGGGTGAAGGGGAATGAGAGTACCAAGAGTTTGTAAACGCGGAAACCAGAAGCAACGTAAACCCAGCAAGATGAAGAGTTCCCATTGGCCTGCAATTGCATCCACCCAATCGTATCGTTCATTGTTTTTGCGCATGCGAGTCTTCATGTGATGCTGCGTGGACTTCTTCTGAGGCCTGGACGAGCACTCTATTGGTAGCCCAAAACTGCCGCCGCCCACCGCCAGTCTCCGCCCACCGTTTGTTGTTTTTTTTTTTTTTTTTTTTTTTTTTTTTTTTTTTNAGGCGGCCATAGGCGCTCCTAGGCGGGCTCGGCGGCAATTTTTCAATTTTTTTTTTATTTTTTTATAATTTTTTAAATACTAATTACATTATTTTGTTTTCATGTTTTCTTTAATATATATTAATATTATTATTTAGACTTTGGTGTGTGAATTTATCATAAGTTGAGATAGATTTATTTCGTAAGTAGTTAAAATAAATAAAAAATAAGGTATTTAATATTGATTTCTGGGTCCCGACTAGGTGCCGCCTAGGCCCCCGCCTAGGCTCTCTAGGCGCTAGGCACTGGTCGAGCGCCTAGCGGGCGCCTAGCGACTTTTAGAACACTGATACAGTCTCACATTTGATAGTCTCACATTTGATATACAGGCTCATGTACTACTATTTGTGTTTTCCTGATATAATCAAGCAACTAAACAATGGAACAATAAGAACCCCTCCCATTTTACCATAAGAGTTGATTTATTCTCCAGAGATCGGACATAGATCACCTGCAAATATTATTTTGCAACTTGGAGGCTCAAGCCAACTTCACTATCAAACTCAGCTGAGCTAATTGGTTTGCATGTTCAGCCAACTCAACCACAGTGTTTTACTATTTTTTTTAACTAATTATAACTGAATATTTATAAATAATATTATTTTGATAATATTTCAAACGAGCTACTTGGGTCGAGCATGTCAGCCTGACCCGGTACAAAACAGAGGTCAGAATTGGTGTGATAGCTCAGCGTGCCTTGTTTACACCATGCAAGCTATAAGCAGTACTCCAACAATTACTCAAGTTTCACGAAACTCAACACCGTACCTCAGCAAGATAAAACAAAATCATAATTTACACTCGTCCCCAAAATTATTTATGCAAAAATATGCAACAGTTTAGATCTCCAAACAACACCAATATCTTAAGTATCGATATCTCAAAATGTCAGGAAACTCAACATTGTACCTCAGCAAGATAAAGTGCAGTCAAAATTTAAACTCATCCCTAGAATTATTTATGCAAATATGCAACAGTTTAGGTCCAAACACCACCACACCTCAGAGCATCGCTATTCATAACAACAACAACAACAACATACCCAGTATATTCCCAACAGGTTGGGGTTTGGGGGGTCAGTTGTACGCAGACCTTACCCTTGTAATTATACATGGAGGCTGTTTCCGTAGCGACCCAAGGTGCATTGCGCCGTTTGATATATTTTTTTTCTAGAAACTTCACTAATAGAAGAAGCACTAGAATTTAATTGAGTCACTAAATTTCCCAAGTGTAGAAATTTCTGATTCAAATTGAACCAGAAAAGTTATTTATTTGACAGCTTAATTTCAAGAGTAGGCAGCTTAATTTCACAGTACATGACACAAGGCAAAACAATCACATAAAACGTAAAAAATACAGAATTTCCTTTAGTAAAAACAATGAACCACAATCAGACACAGCAGCTCAATCAATACAGCAAATTTCTAAAACTCATCNAAAAAAAAAAAAAAAAAAAAAAAAAAAAAAAAATAGCAAAAGCAAAAGCAATAACCCATCTCAGAAAGACTAGTTATCTTCACTCCCTCAGTTACAAATATAGACCCCACTTTCGTACCTGTGATCTTTCTCATAGAAATCAATCTTCCCCTCCGAAGCAGGCTTCAAAGAAATCCCGGACAAAGACCTCACCCCATATCCCGAAAACTTGACATAACCAACAATTTCGAGATCCGACCCATCATCATCATCCGCAATATCCACAGGCATCCTCGCCCTCAACCTCCCAGGACTCCCTTTCACCGGAATCTCATCAACATGCCACCTCAGTTCTCTTTCAGACCTGTTGAGCACCCCTTTGGGCGAAACCTGCAAAAGGGTTGGGTCCACCGGCAGCTTCAGAACAAACGTCACATCCGTGAGAGGGACAGCCGAATCTGGGCTCGAGACATACTGGATCATAATCGAAAGCAATGTCCCACTGAGACGCTTCACGAGCCGAACCCTCAGAGGCAGAGGAGTCAATCGCGGCTGTATACTGTACTTGATGATTGGAATGGGCTCGTCAGACGGGCCTGTCCTTATATGAAAAACCCCGTTCCCCAAACTGCTCACTTTCGATCCTTGAACAGCAAACCTCTTCACGCCCTCTGTTCCCTCGACTTTAAATGAGAATTCAGTCTCCTTATTTTCCTCAGAGGGTTTGGGAGGAGGCAAAGTCTTCAAGTACAGAACACCCATAAGCCCTACACGAGCGAGTACCGACTCACGAAACTCGGCGCTGATTTCTTCTATTACATACATTTCAGGACCCTTCATCTCTGTCTTCTTCACCAGCAAATCTTCCAGCTTGTCACCTTTTGTGGCAGCCATGGCTGCCGGTGGTGGCTCGCTCGTCTCCAAAAGCTCCAAGCCACCAAGGCCACGATCTTTGGGGACTTTCTTGGGCCCCACGAATTCCGAGGCGTCGAGCCCTCCACCCCAGGCATCGTTTATGCCTTCGAAATCTTCCGGAAGTGTGGAGCCATCGTTGCTGAACTCGATTCCTCCGTAGTTTCCTTCAAAGCCCTCGACTCCAATGTGAGTCGACTCGGTGGCTGCCGGCGGGGGTAAAGTGGTCACTTCAAGCCCTGCTAGGGCCTTGCTCACGTCCGAAACTCCCGAGTCTCTGTCCTTCTTGAAACCTTCCATCAGCATCTCTTCCGGCTTGTTGAGCCGATCACTGGCGGCGAAAGGGTCTTTTTCCAGCTCAGTCTCCTCGGGGTTGACAGCTGGCAGCTCCTTATCCTCCACCTGCTGGAAGAACCCAAGGGTGGCTGCCGCCACCTCGTCTCCGGCCACCAAGGTCTCCGGCGGCAGCTCGAAGAAAGCGCCGGAGAAGGCGTCCAGGCCAGCCTCGTGTTCTGCAGCATGGGGCTCCACGGAGGTCCAGCTGTCTGCCCCGCGGATCTTGCTCTCAGTATGGACGGCGGAGTGGACCATTTTGGCGATGCCGTCCCCGTGCATCGAGGCCAGCATGGCGGCGAGGCGGATGCTGGTGACTCCGCGGAGGACGATGTCGAGGGCCATGTAGACCTCTGCGTACTTCTTGCCCAGCTTCTCTGGGGTGACGTCCACGCCGCGGCAGGCGGTGACGATGACGGAGACTGCCTGGTTGACGACGTTGATGCACTCGAAGACGTTGTTGTTGGAGTCGTCGATGGTGGTGACGGCGAGGACGTAGATCGAGTTCACCAGGCGGTACACGACGCGGTAGCGGGACTCGACGCCGACGACGACTTGGCCGGAGGAGGCGGCCAGGGGGTCGTCGCCGAGGGAATCGGAGGACGGATCCGGGGCGGCGGAGGAGGAGGAGGACTGGTGGTGGGTCTTGGCGAAGGAGAGGCGAGTCTCGCGGAAGGCGGAGAGGGCCATGAGTGCGCGGGAAGGGGGAAGCCATTCTCGGGTCTGGAGGAGTATGTCGGACCCATTGGTGGGCTGAAGGGCCAGCGCCAGACACGACATCTTTAGATCGAGGGGACTGATCTGGGAGCTTTTGGTACTGGAATTCGGTCTAGGGTTTCAGGACGAAGCGAATTTTGAAATCTACGATCGGAAAATTCGAAATTGGGGATTTTGGTTTCAGATCTTTGGGAAGAAGAATGGATTTTGATAGGTTCGTTGCAGAGATCGGAGAAGGGAGGGTGGAGAAGGAAAGGATTTGTGCGTAATGTACAAGTTTAGGTGCACAGTGTACAATACGAAATCGAAGATGTTCTACAGTCGTGCTGAGGGTGTGATACTGTGATGAATCTGATGATCACTCTCATTACAATTTTTGAGTAATTACAGCTTCCCTCCCCATAGTTCCGTACCTTTCTGAAATCGCCCCTGGACTTGGAATTGTGGTATTTTTAGCAATTTTAAATACAAATATGGAACTGTAAAAAATTTATAATTATACTATGAAATATATATTTTTCTATATTACTTTTTAAATACTAGTAAAGTGCACGCACATCGCACGTGGTGGTGAATTATTTTTTGTCGATTAAATTTCCGAGCACACAATTAAATTAATTAATTTATTAAACATATCATTGCAGGAACGAAGTGAAATATAGAATAAATGAGCTTCTAATATTTTTTTACATAACATAATGATGTTCTATTATTAAAAAAAATAAAAATAAAATAATATATTACAACTCCAACAATAATATATATGAAAAAAAAACACAAAATAACTAAATAAGGACCTATGTATATTATAGATGCATTAATTATTTTATTTAATTATGTTAGATGATTAAAGAGTGATTTCTTTCATTTTAGTCTTGAAGTTTTCATAAGAAACATTCAAACTCGTTGGAGCTCAGTACATCTGAAGTGAATAAGATTTCACCCGGGCTCCTTCAACTCGGACGGCCACCGTACCTGCAAAAACCCAACGCCGGGGAGGGGTCCCGGCGTCGGGCCTCCGACGCTCAAGTCAGAATCACTCCAAATCCCAAGTGTATAGTAATGAATGTAGAGAGATGAGAGAATGAGATACCTTAGCCTGAGTGTACCTTATGGCCCAAGTTGAGCTTGTCCAATAGCATCATGCCACGTGTCCTAGCCATGTGTAGGCTTATTCTTCAATATATTCCCTTGTTATCCATTAAAACTGGTCTAGTATATATATCCCATATCATCTAGTCCCCCCACTCTGGTCGAGTAAGCATGACTCGATCCAAGAGTGAAATTCCCTTCGAGCTGTTTCTGTCAATCTGCCACTGAGGTTATAATTTGAATAAATCATCGACCACTAAATAGTCACCAAACCTCCAAATGAGCATCGGGACCCCAAATGAACGCCGAATGACCACTAAGGTCAGAAACCGAAAGACCAGCCGCAGAGGTCGAATACCGAAAGACCTCCCTCTGAGGTCGAATACCGAGAGACCCGCCACTGGGGTCGCATACCGAAAGACCTGCCTCTGAGGTTGAATACCGAGAGACCCGCCACTAGGGTCGAATACCGAAAGCTGAACGGCCTCTGAGGTCGAAAACCGAATGACCCGCCACTGGGGTCGAACACCAAAAATCGAGAGACCGTTGGGGTTGAAAACCGAAAACCGATAGACCACCTAGGTAGAAAACCAAAAACCGAGATACCACTGAGGTCGAAAACTGAGAACCGAGACACTGCTGAGGTCGAAAATCGAGTGACCACTGCAGTCGAACACTGAGTAACCGCAGATGAGTTCGAAAACCAAGTGACCGCTGGTGAGGTCAAGAATCGAGTGACCGCCTATGAGGTCGAAAACCAAGTGACCGCCGGTGAGGTCAAGAATCGAGTGACCGCCTATGAGGTCGAAAACCGAAAACCGAATGACCACTAATAAGGTCGAAAACCAAGTGACCGCCGATGAGGTCGAAAACCAAGTGACCGCCGGTGAGGTCGAGAATCGAGTGACTGCCTATGAGGTCGAAAATCAAAAACCGAATGACCACCGATGAGGTCAAAAACTGAGAATTGAATGACCACTGATGAGGTCGAAAACTGAAAACCGAAGTCTTGAATTTAAAAATTTGAACTTACGTCTTGTTGTTTTTCGATCACCATGTTCGACCTCTCTTCATTCAAAGATAAACCTTTCCTACCACCTCGTCCTATCATCGCCTCCTCAGTACAAAATTTGAAATTCAACCCTGCTGTTTATCCTCTCGAAAACCGAATGTCCTGACACCACACCGAAGTCGAAAGCCGAATTTCGACAAAACCAAATAAAATCATTGTTGATAACCGACTCGGTCACACAAGATTCAAGTCGCGGATTAATCGTCTCGTTAAGTTAATAATCCTCCAGAAAAAGTTGAACTTAACCCAAGTCGGTATTAGCTGGATTAATTATCGACTTCCGAGATGACTGAAAGTAAGAACCGACTACTTAGAGAGACACCAGCGACCGACTTCACCAACACCGTGGCCAGTTGTATCAAAAATTCTCTTTAAACCGACGGCTAAAAAGATCAAATATCCAAGTTCAAATATCCAAGCAAAAAAGAGCTGTAAGCATTTGATTGGACCATCAAAGCAAAAAGCAATCATTGATGTTCCCCTGTTCCGGAACACACCGCTCTATTGATGCTGCTCAACATTAAATGCGATCTTATCCTTCTCCGACAGAAAGACAAAAACTACCATACTATAAATAGCAGAATTTATAGTTGTACGAGGATCTTTTTCCGCACATTGTACATGGACTTAAAATGATCTCGGTCAAGAACAAAGAACCGACTTCCTGTACTCTTGTGAACTTATCAATAAAACATAATCGTGAATTTATCTTTGTTTAAACACACTCTGCTGTTAATTTTGAGTTGTTAATTTCATACAACAACAGTTTGGCGCTAGAAGGAGGGGGGCCTGAACCTCCGATTTGTTATATGCATGTGTAACGAATATCTATAAACGCGCAAAATCGTCATGTCAAGTTCTGGGCGACAAGAGCGTAATCTAGATTTTGGAACCAGTCGTCACCCTGCTCAGACGACTGACAATTCAACTGTGCCATCTATGACGATAGATTATTCTGTTCTATTTCAAGATCCAGAATTTCTCAGAAATTTATCCAATTTCATGGCACAAACGAGAGAAGAACCAACCGCAACGGTTCCAGATCAAGCTCGTGCTTCAAATCCACAAATTAGGCAACGAACATCGCCTGTTCGACAGCAAAATAGTATTCCTGCCGCGTCACATGCAACTTCACACCCACGAACACCTGAGTCGCAACACAATACTGCCACTCATCATCATGGTGTAGTCCCCGTTCAAAATTGTATCCCAGAAGCAGCTAAACCAGAAGTTACTGCTGAAAGTCATTCTGGGTGTCGTCAACAGCAGTCGGTGCCTTCATCGCCGGTTACTTCACAACATGGTCAACCATCCGATTTACGACGTACCATTGAACGAAATCGATTCTGACGTGAGCATGATGAGTTACGTCATACTATCGAAAGGAATCGTTTAAGGCGCGAGTCGGAAGAGTTAGAAATGCTAAGAAAGAGAATTGCCGAGTTAGAAACTCGGCAAGACGGTCGTGAGGAATTTCAACGGCAAATTCCGACCTCAGAAGATATTTACCTAGAGGCCGAGAGTCCATTGGCCCCTCATTGACAAGAGAACCTTTTCCCATCAAAGTAAAGGTCCCTCAGATTGGTCTTTATGATGGAACCTCTGATCCAGATGCACATCTCAGTCAATACACTTCATGGATGGATCTCCACGGGGCAACCGACGCGCTTAGATGTCGGATGTTCTCATTAACCTTGGGAGCTCGAGCCCAAAAATGGTATCATTCCTTACCACGTTGTTCAATTTCCAAATGGCAACAATTGAGAACGGCTTTCCGATCTCATTTTATCTGGGCCCGGGTATCTCTAATCCCAAAAGAGTCTATTGCTAATATCGTGCAAAAGGATAATGAAAGTGTGAAGGCCTATATTGCTCGGTTTAATGAACGAATCCAATTTAACGGCAACCACATCGTCCGACATTGGCTGTTGGCTCCGTAACGGAGCCAACAGTTGGTGTTGGACACTCCTTTGCATTCTCCATCTTAGCCCTTTTTAAGAGATCTACAATGTACTGCCCTTGTCGTGAACCAGCGACGCATCCATCGCCGTGGGTCGCCGTCCTCGAGCCGCTGCCCCTCAAGCCCTGTCACGCCACCGCGTACAAGACCTGACCTTACGAAGAGCACTATAGGAATGTTAAGATCAAAAGGCTCGAAATGGGAGGTCAGTAAGGTTTGGTCGTCTTATGTAGAGCACATACGTTCGTGTTACAGAGCAATCGAAAATCGTTGCTGATCACGGCGATAGCTGGATTAAAGCCAAACTCTTTGTTTCGTAGGAGTATTTATCAAAACAAACCGACTTCATTTCAAGACTTTCTAGCTCGAGCTCAGCAGCATATCATAGCTGAAGAATCGATGTCGGTTCCTACTCTCGACTTTTCTCTGAATAAGTCAGAAGTAGAACAAGAATCGAAAAAGAAGAAACATAAACCTTTCAAACTAAATAAATCCCGATTTGAAAATCCTAGGAATCCTGAGGTAAGCTAGAGCAAAATACCTTAATGAAGTCAAATCCAGCTATCAGACGGTTTTCTCAACAGGAGCAGCAACCATATTTGAAGAATTGAAAGGAAAAGGAATCCTTCCTGATCCCCGACCTGTGAGGACTCCAGAAGAAAAACTCAACAAGAGGAAATATTGTTCATATCACAAGTCGGCCGGCCATGATACCGATGAATGTCTGGGTTTGCTTTCTGCCTTATTACGGCTCATTGGACACCCACAAGTCCAAAGATTTGCCAAGAATACTGATTATAAATGAAAGGGCAGATTGTTAGAACCACCAGATGATGATGAAGATGATGATTGTCCAATTAATCCAAAGTGTATTAAACCGAGTGATAAATAAGTATTTATGACAAACTCGGAGGAGAATAATCCTTCATTTTCAGAAAA